GGAGTGATCAGAGGATTTGGAGAAACGTCTTGAAGCAATGGAAAATTGTTTGAAGCCATTTAGTGAAGCATATCCCAACTCAAACCTTTATTGTATCAATTCTGGAAAGGCTGTACCAGACGAAATAATCTTCTTTCTGTGCAACCGGCAAGGAGAAAAGTGGAACAAGTAGTTTGGACATGGCTGCTTTACTCATCCTCGTTGATTTCAAAGACCTATTCCATGACGTAAAGTAGAACATTTTGATGTTGAAACTGCGAAACTGTCTTGCAAATTAAAGATATATGAAGGTAAAGGGGCCCAAATACACATGCGATCTTGGTCCGCTTGCATAGAGCGATCTTAGTGCTACGACTTCCTTAACGAATTTGACAAATGTATTAAGGATTCACATCATTTCTAGTCATGAATTTATTAAATTTACAAATATTTGATGAACAATCCCATTCCGGTAACTATTTCTCAAAGATACACATGCATTGCAATGCTATCAATGTTACACATCCTACAAAGGAATAACAGTTATAGTTCCTTTACATCTGATATCATAATGCAACGGCAGTTCATGCTATCTCAAAAACCATAGGTATCTTCTTAATTCCTTGATATTGATATCTGTAACATTATATTTTACAGTCAGCAACAATTCAATATTCATATAATCTGCAAGTAGTGTTGAGCCATTGATGTCACTAAAATATTTTGCTGTCACAGGCTTCTAATCTCCGCCTGAACATTTCTTGAAAAATATGAAATATCTCCAGTACCTTGACTAAACGTTGTATATTCAACACCACACATACATTTGCTTGGGATAGCATTCACCAGACAATTTTCGCTATTACTTAATACATTTTTGGTAGTGGTCTATATAAATTCCAAGTCTAAGACAGTAGATTATCACAATACCACTTCTCATACTGTCATAAATAACACCCATTTCGAATTTTGTTTCTTCTGTCATCCCTAATTATCTGAGAGCCCAATAATTTACAACATTTACATTAGGTGTCACTCTTACTTTGCAGTTCAATAACACTGACGTCAAAAAGATATAATAATCAGTATACAATAATAAAAGTAGTTCCAAAATATCCTATACCTATAAATATACATCTTACATCTTCTATCATGCATTGAAATTCTTAAATAAACATTGCAAATAAATGCGGACTGATAACACAACCTTGTCTGACTCTTTATAAGCTTGGTTTATTTCACGATAAAACATTGTTGGACATGGTTGACTGACTCTCTCATATTTGTTCAATATGCCGATAACTATATTGAGAATCACGATGAACTATTATGTAATATTTACAGTGATGATGACGTTAATAATTACATAAACAGAGATGTGACAAGATTGAAGCTGGCAAAAATAATTTTGCTGCGGTGTTGTAGTTCCTTCTTACTTCCTTATTTAACTCTTATATTTAAAAACACTTTGAAGACAAGAATATATCCATCAGAATGGACAAACGGAACTTATAAAAAAGCGTTACTGTATAGCCTTGATAGGAAATATGTATTCCAAATGCTTTGCGGCAGTTAGAATGTCTAAGATATATGTTGTTGAATATTTAGAATGTTTGAGTGGAGTTCGACAGGGTTGTGCCTTATGTCCTTTTCTTTTTTGCTACAATGCTAGAAAATAAAGAATGTAGAAGCATATCTGAATATCCGGAATTGTCAATGTTACTTTATGCGGATGATATATGATACTGCTATTGGATTGCAAAGAAAGATTGATAGTTTAAGACAGGTTTTGTAAATCTTGGTGATTACAAGTTAATATGGATAAGACGGAGATGTTGGTATTTCGCAACGACTGTATTGTTTCAATTCTACGAAAAATGGTAAATGGGTGGTGATATATTTAAAACTTCTACATATTATAATTATTTAGGGGTGCTATTCTCGAATGGGGCCTCATTTGTGATAACAATGTTGCACCATAAAATCCCATGTATGCCTACAAATTTACTCCTTAAGCTGTTTGACACATATTTTATAAAATGGTGCAGAGATTGTGGTGCTGTAGAGACTAGTATTAGACAAATTTCACACCAATTTTGTAAATATGTTTTGGGAGTCGGTAAATATGTATGAAGAACTGCACTTTAACAGAACGCGGTAGACATGGTTTGTGTGTAGATCATGTTAAATGTGTTACCTGCTGGTCCAAATTGTTAAGAATATCGGACAACCGTTACCCCAAGCAATGATATTCACTTATGCGAAATATGGATGCAGTCGGCAGATGAAAATTGCCTGGGCGTCACACCTGCGAATGTTATTACATAGTGTAGGATTTGTATTTGTATGGCTTAACCAGAATATTGGAGATTACGCTCATTTCAATATTTAAACAGGTTACAGGATTGTGGCAAACGAATTATTCAGGCCAAACTTAAGGGTCATAACGTTGTGTACATTATAAACTGCCGAAAACATTGGAATTGTTCATGCACTGGGATAGATAGATTGACAGAATTGTGCACACCCTACCTAAGTAAGGAATGATGCGCTGAGTGCTCCAGTGCCCTCAACGACCAGATTATTATTATTATTATTATTTACAGATTAAAATAAATAATGCAGCAATGCGGGTTTGGGTGATCCTGGCACAGTCAGGCTGGATTCATCAACAAGGACAAGATCAGGTCTGATGGCCTGGATACGTCTGAGGCTGTAAATGGGCCTATTCCAAAGAATTTTGTATTCATCATTTTCCATGTCGCCCTCTACATATTCCGGGTCGTACCATGGGTGGATCTCTGTGTCAAAACCACGAGCATGGAGAAGACGGTAATAAAATGATCTAGCTACACCATCATGTGGCTTAAGATACTGTGTTTGAGCCAAAGCTGAGCATCCACTGACAATGTCTTGGACAATCTCATTAAATTCATTACATTATCTACATTTCATATTTAAATTTTGATGCAAAATCACACATTTACAGTTTCGAGTGGGAAGTGACTGGTCCTGAGCAGCAAACAGAAAGGGTTCTGTTTTACTTTTCAGGCCAGACGACTTCATCCAAGCGAAGGACTTCTCAACACACTGCACATGAACTAGATGCAGTGGTCGCTCAGAAAGCCTCTCCATGAAAAACGGAGTCTGGGCCGATTTGATATGTCACTTCGCTTGGTTGACACTCATTTCTGTACCGTCCAGCAGTACAGAACCATCAACAAAATCAACACCGACGTTCATATTATGTCCCACATCCTTGGCTCGTTTTAGAAAACTGTTGAATGCCTTGTTTTCCTAACGAGTCTTGGCATGCTTCACAAGAGGATCATCAGACAAATAAATGTGTGCAAAAGTGCACAAAACAATTCTATCATGAAGAGCCTCCACATTAATCAACCGCGCCCTCCCGTCATAATTGGTAAATATAAGCGCTTAAGGGAAGAGCGAGGATGGTGGGATCTATTGTCTGACATGATTCTTCCTGTGAGGGTGTCAATACCCTGAATTTCTTGTTTCGTCCAATCAACAACACCAAAAGAATACGAAAGGACGGGCACAACATAAGTATTTGTGGCTTTGACTTTATTGTGAGCGTTCACCTCTGAACTCTAGATTTTCTTTAGTCTATTTGTACTCTGCCCGAAGTTTGCCCTTGATATGGGCATTCTGGAGTTTGTCCATAATCTGCATCCCTAAGTACGTATAGGCCTGACCTTCCACAAGATGGTCAATAACTCCTCCTCCAAGTAAACTGACTGGTCCACCCTCTTCTACCTTGCAATGTTTAAAATGAAGAATGTTGCATTTGTCGAGTCCAAAGGACATGCCGATATCATTAGAAAAGGACCCGACAAGCAGAATCTGTTGTTTTGAGTGTAGATCCTCCATTGGCAATAAGCTCAAGGTCATCCATGTAAAGGAGGTGAGTAAGGGATGTTGGGGATCTGTGCTTAGGAGGTCCCGGGTGATAACCTTCCTCTTTGCTGAGCAAAGAGCTTAAAGGATTCAGTGACAAACAGAAAAGCAAAGGGTTAAAAGAATCGCCCTGAGATATTCTTCTCCTGATAGAAATGGGTTCCGAAGTCACAACCTGCCCCTGCGAATACATCTCAAGTTGAGTTGACAAGCAATTTATTAAAGACTTGAGTAAAACAAGTAGTCGCTCGGGGAAGTCAATACATTCCAGTGACCTCAAAATCCATTCATAAGCTTTTCTCTAGTCTATCCAACACACTGAAAGGTTACGGTGGTAAGTTTTAGCCTCTTCAAGGATCATTTTCTGAACTAGTAGTTGACCCTTACATCCCCAACATCCCTTTCTGGCTCCTTTCTGCTCCATGTAAATAATGTCATTGGATGTGCAGTATGCTGACACAATATCTGTAAGACATCCTGTAAATATTTTCTATTGTGTATTCAGACAAGTAATAGGGCGAAAGTATTTGGGATCAGTCAAATCACCCTTCTTTATTATTATTATTATTATCATTATTATTGCTCCTCTGCCCACACCTCTCACACAACTCCCACCTCTCCCTCCTCGAGAAAATACCCGATGTTAAAATAAATGGTGGGTCCCTTGTCTAACATGGTGTCACCTCAGTTGTTTAGCCTCGCCGGGCGTTAAGAAACCAAAGAGACCCAGGTTAGTGATAGTTACCACTTCAGCGAAACTCGAAACGAGTGCTGGACTAGTGCAGTCATAATCGATGCGAAGGCGAGATTGGAATCGACCTGTCTGTCAAAAAACGTAATTCTGCATAACGAGTTATGCGACTTCAGGATTGATATTTTTAGCAGGGTAATACAAGCCACGATTTCTATCGACTCATTCCCTCGGTACATTCATTTCGTTCATACAATGTAAGTGTTCACAAAGAGATTCCGCCTACCCGACCTCATTTCCATGTGGATCATGTTACCGGAGCAACGAACAATACCGAGCAGGAAAATAAGACGTCGACGCAACTGGGCACGTCCATGTGAACGGCCCGTGACCTAAATTGTGAGGTTATTTCAGAATATCATTTAAATTCACTTCTCACGTGTGCGCTTTGTCGCAATATGGCCTCTCTCTCCATAGTTCTGGTTATTTCAGTTTAAGACGTTTGTCATAATAACTCACCCCTTTCCTGTGTGCATGTAACGCCTAAGCCAATCAGAGTTGCCTACACAACGAACCGACATCACGTGAAGGAGCCTCCTTCTGTAGATATATGCGACAGGCTGCCATCAACACACACAGAGATTTGTCCCCCATTTAGCCGCAACTTGAACACGGTAAGTGGTCTTTGGTGATATTACGTGGCTTGGTGTAAGAGTGCTCATCATTGTTATAATGACGGTTGAGAAGATATGTCCCCAGCAACCTGTGCGTGTGAGAGGCGACCCTTTTGACCGGGAGGTTAGGCTCGGTGACTTGCATGGTTGATTGCATGTCATCGGATTCCAAAGACGTAGATCGATGCTGAAGACGCCCGTCATTACATTGTCTGGTCCAGACTCGACCACTGTTATTCGGCTGAAATATTGTTGAGTATGGCGTTAAACAACCAGCCACTCAAACTCACTGATAGCTCCTCACAAACACACGTTAACTAAAGGCAGGAGAGGAGATCACTCGAAAAATGTTTTGTTTGTGTATTTCACCTGACACACAAGACTTTGTGAATAACCTTTTAAAAAGACAGTTAAAGATTAGGCGTTCATTTCAATCCTCTTTGGTAACATTGATAATGATCAATCCATGCAATCGGAAATATCATTTTGAACAGTATGTGTAAAGCGTGTTGCATTTTGCACTTGTAAACCGATAGTATATAGACCGTGACAAAAGCTACTGAATGCCTACCTGTCGTAGTGACATAAATAAATGTACATTGTATACCCGGCATAACGCGTTACAAACAGAGCATTAACGTGCTGAACATAGCAACCACTGATGGTTTTTGGCTCATGGTCAAATTACACCTGACTGACTGGATAAACCTGTTCTAACAGCCCACTGGGATTCGTCCTTGTATTTCCGCGTGGATCGATACGTTTTAAAATGTACTCGTAGTAATAGAAACGGTATGTAATGGGTCCTCGTATACGAATCTTAATTTATTGTGTGCCACAGGAGAATCGTACTTCTATTAAATACTGTTTGTTTGAATTGACAACTGGCATTCTCAGACACTCCTGTGATAATGAGAACATCATAGGAAGGAGAAGACATTGGACTACAAATATCGATCCACAATGAAATGTTTACATAATACTTGGTATTAATGAATGGCAGGTGCATGTGTTATGGCTCGATAAACACCGCTCTTTGAGGGTGCGTATCCAAAGCAGATAAAAGCGGAGGAATACATTTTACAGGTTATGTTTTATCCGCGTTGCATACATAAAGTGCATAAAACTCCACACATAAAACATCGTGCCAAGGGCACTTTCAGCTCATGTGATAATCAGCCCCCCTTTCAACATCACGCCGATAATAACACTATATACAGTTATTATATTAACTTGCGGCCGAGGTAGCCTAGTGGTTAAAAGCGTTAGCTCGTCACGTCAAGACCCGGGTTCGATTCCCAACATTAGTAAATTGCTTGAAACACATCTCTAGTGTCTCTCGCCGTGATATTGCTGGAATATTGCGAAAAGCCGCCTCAAATTTCATTCTCACTATTATATATATTAAGTGTGTATTGTTATTTAAATCTGGTAGAAACTGCGTATCTCGAATCTGTTGATGATGTCGGTGTTGTTGGTGCAGGCACGTACACGTAGGCCATACTCCTAGGTAGAGCTGGTAGAGTAGCAACCTTAGAAACTAAAGTTTCTTGACTAGTCCGTAGGACTAGAATAAGTCTTATTTCACTAGTCCTCACAGTTTGTAGTACGGCGTGAAGAAGGCAAAACTGTTTACTTTGCTTACAGTTTCCGTCAGTTTTTTCATTTCCAATTTGTGGCAAACTTGAAGCATTGAGAACTGGTTCATAATTCATCCCCAAAGGCTACATGTGCTTGTCAATGAATTTTGTGTGTTGTTTAACGCCGCACTCAGCAATATTGAAGCTATCTGACGGCGGTCTCTAAATAATCGGACCAGACAATTCAGTGAGTGACATCATGAGCATCGATCCAAGCAGTTGGGATCGATAACATGCATCAACCAAGACAGCGAGCCTGACCACCCGATCCCTTTAGTCGCCTCTTACGACAATCATAGTCGCCTTTTACGGAAAGCTTGGGTTGCTGAAGACCTATTCTACCCCGGATCTTCAGGGGTCAATGAGGACTACCATCATGGGACATTTACTCTCACAATTTAGTAGTCTCGAGCTTGCGAACAAGCGTGAATTTCGAAGGCTGGAGTTGGCGTGAATGAGAGCGAGGGAGTGGGTGTCTGAGTGAGTGAGTGAGTGAATGAGTGGGTGGGTGGCAGCAAGCTTGTCCGCAACGACGTTTGTGCGTGACAACGATGTGTGACAGGAATGTGTGATGGATATATGTGACAGCAATGTTTCACTGCAATATTTAACAGAAATATTGACAGAATTTCAGACACAAATGTTTGACAGCTATGTATGACAGAAATGTGTTTGATGACATTATTGAACTGGACATGTCTTCACTTCAGGCTATAACGTGGCTGCTGCAGCAAAGAAGATCCTGGAGAAAAGCATCTTTCTGTTGTGATACTACATTATATTAAACGATTTACAAGTCAGGAGGATGGGAAAACTTCCACTGTTACTTCTTTTCCTCCTCTTCATCTCTGTGCGTAAGTTATGACAAAAAACATCATGGACATATTGCATTGGCCTCATGAAATAATACACCCTTTGGCTTTGAACTGGGGTTATCGTAAATGAATTACAAATTAAAATTACCAATTACTTTTCAGACCATCTCTATGTTATTTGCTCAAACTTAATATGGGATTCGGGTAATAATAATACTGTATTCCGATTTCGTTGCCATGGTTTCTGGAGGTGTTAACTGATATAAAGGAATTGACCAATATATACTCTCTTATTTACTCATGTTATGTATGTCTGCGGTAACACCCACATTCAAATGAAATGTTAAACAAATCTCTAATCACCCGTAATAGAGAATTAGTTTGGATAATTAATTATAACCATACTGCCCTAGGTCTATTTCTACTTGAAATGTATGGGTATAGGCTTAGTTTTTACTAATTGAAAAGATATTTTTTTGTGACATCGAAACTGATGGTTCCAGTAGAGATCAGCAAATCAACACTTTAAATATTTTCTTGGAAAAACAAAGCTTTGTAATTTATAGAATAGACTATGTAAATTTTGGAATGACAGATTATGTTTCTTATGAAAAAGGGGGCACGGGCGGCCCAGTCGTCTAAGGCGCCGCGATTCGCTTTGCAGATTTTCGTCCCTTGGGCACGCCAGAAACCTATGATTGTGGGTTCGAATCCCGGTTCGCCCCGATTATGTTTCTAGGCTTGTCAGCAACCCGTGCTCGTGGGTTTCACCGAAGTGGTAAACGTCTGAGACCTGCATCACTTCGGGCTTTCCTCAAACATTAAGCTGACACGCCGTGACATAACTGAAATAATGTTAAAAGCGGCGCTAAACCCAACTCACTCACTCTTATGAAATAAAGTTGCGAGACAATATTAATACACTCCGTGAATATTCCTTGTGTTTTCGTATATCACACATTATTCTCTAAATATTTCAATACAATATTCGCTTAATAATAATATTATACATATATAATGTATTATTCCAGCTCTACGCGCAGCTAAAACCTTCTTAGAAGCGTACGGTGACCTGAGGAAAAGCTTAGTCGAGCCGACAAAATACAATTTTAAAGTGAGACCTGCAAATAAGACAGTCATCAACATTACTCTCGATTTAACAACCCTGAACAACCTGGTACGTGCTTTTATAACATTGTGAGCTTGTTGTTTATGGTATTCATTGTGACTTAAGTCCTGGAGTGATAACTATGCAGACGGCAAAGAGGGGTAAAGGAAAATCTGTACAGAGAGAAAATGAGGTGTCGGCTGAGGGGAGAGATTGTGTACAGAGCGAAGGGGTGTGTTAAGTTCCATTAATAGCAAACTCGGTGTCAAGAAAGTTGATTATATTTTTCTGTGCTTGCAGGACATAGGATCCCAGACTTTGACTTCAACATTTCTGCTGTATATGGTAAGTGCGGATATTCCAAGCACATTTAAGGATTGACTGTGTATTTTTTTCGGTTCATTGAGGTAATAATAGAAAAACCGATGTGCAAACTGTATGAATCCGCATAGTACATATAACATTTGGGCATTACAGGGTAAATAAACATACCCTATCCCTTGGTCTGAACGTTTCGATTGTCACTAAAGGATTGACTGTGTATTTTATTTCGGTGAAGCGAAAAACATACACAGTCAATGTATATAATTTAATTCGACAACCTAAAACATGTTTTATCTACAATAGTTTAACCAAACACAGTTGTATATATCAAAACAGACAAAAACGACGAGACTGATAAACATTCCAGGTGTAGGAATTAATACATTCAGTGGCGTGACATGAATCAGGTGATCGTTTAAATCATGCACATAACTTGACACGCCTACACAGTCAGTAGCCAATCAACGGACAGTTGGATCAAAACATTGTTCATTTGACCTGTCAATTAAGGCAAGAGGCGTAAAGAGTCAGACGGTAACGAACCGGAAGAAATATGTCCGAGAGAAGGCGGCTGTTTCAAATAACATGGTCAGTTACCGCCAGATTCAAACATTACTTCCCTCATTACGGTAAAACACAGTTGGTGAAAGGCTAGCTAGAAATGAAACCCGAAGACATGAAAGTTGAACCGAGTCAAGCGGGAAAAAACAAGCGAGCGAGCATTCCTTCTCGGCCTTCGGTTTCAAAGGGTAGTTTGGACAATGAATATGCAATGTAGTGTGCATGACGATACACGTGGGCAGAAAGGGAATTCCCTCGACTGTAATGTTTGGATTCCCCGACTTTCCGCAGTTATAAAAGTAGTGCGCATCGGTGGGCGTTGCTTAAACTTTTTACATTCATTGGGAAATGAATGCAATAACACGTGACCATTTCAGCTAATCAGAATGCAGGAATTTCAATGAACACAACGAAAATTAATTATTACGACCATAAAAAGAGAAGACACAAATGAATAATTATACCAGCTAGACATAGTACGGAGAGACATGTTAACACCAATACCGAACATCCGGTGCCTAAAAATAGAAGGCGGGAAAACAACTGGATCGTGAAAATGCAAATAAACGAGACATGTTTTCATCCATTTGGACAGCCGGTGTCTAAGATGACAGGGTGTGAACAAGGGGCTTTAGGGTAGCAGTTAGACTAGACATGCTAACACATCCCCAGAAACCGATGTGTCATTTTAGAGTCGATGTTAATTTTGAAAAACTTGACAATCTGGTAAAACACATTTTGTATCAACTCGGCATATTATTCAGGAAAAAAACACGTCTTGAAGTATATGCCTACATTAAAGTGTCCCTCTTCGTGCAATTAAGACAATACTCTGCCTAAGCGTTTTAACTTCACTAATTTTATAGTTTATATGAATATTCCTATCTGAAGCAAAATGTTGACATGCAGGATGTGAACAGTAGGACAAACGACTATCAGTGATGACAATAACTTTCATCCTATTAATATAATATCCATATTATTCCTATTCATTACTGTTTATCCCGCGTAAATTGGACAGGATTATTTTCATTTAAAACCTGCTTTAGCTTGATGATATTTTTTCAAACGTTAAGTAAGTAATTAACATAAGTCTCTCATCTTAAAGAAATGGTTTAACGGGTATTTTGAAAAAAAGATAAGTTATATCATACGGACTATCTAGTTTCTCCTTTCTCGTGGTGTGAGATTAAATATTACCGAGACCAAACGCTCGTTCTCTTTATTCTAGTCATGGATCGATGAGCGGCTTACCTGGCCATCAACAACTGGCATCGACTACCTGATATATAGCATCAAAGAGATATGGACACCAAATCTAGTTATTACAAATTAGTAAGTACATGTACCTATACTGTTCCACAATCAAAACATAATGCTGAGCTATTTACTGAACAGTTTGCTGAACAAGAACCTCCACACGTATATGCATACACTGTGCTCTTTCGAATTTGATGGCACGCCATACTACCAATTGTGTTTTGAAATAACCAGTAAAAAAGATGTAGTCTTTGGAGCTTTTGAATGCATAAGTCAATGTTTATTTAACTCTCTGAGCCCTCAATGTTTACACATGAGGCATACTGAACAATACATGTTCAGTCATGAGTGAAAGGGTCATCAATTTAATCTAAAAAGGTTATGCAATGTATTTCATGGTAGGTATTAACATAGTTTTATTTCTCTTTAAACAAATACATGTAAGAGGGAAAAGGATGTTAATTCAACAGAGGGTTTTGTCACATTGTTTCATATAAGTTCTTGTTCTTCATTATAGTCAATACCATAAGAAACTATGTCATCCAAATCATTTCAGATCGAAAAATTATGACATTAATACATTAATTGAACAACAACTTTGATCACCTCTGAAGATGAAACTCCAACAGTATGCCTCGGGTATATCACACATTGTGAAATGCGTGTTTTCAGCTAGTGTATTACCTCATTTTAGTGTAAATGACTTTGGATTGATTGGGATATATGAAGACGGACCCGTTCCTATCAGGGTGTCCATTGAGGGCCGAGTGGTGTGGGCTCTCCGCGTAGCCACGACAACGACATGCCAGGCCGACATTACGTATTATCCGTACGACAGTCAGACGTGTGACGTACACGTTATGGAGTGGGCGCATCCCATGAGTGAGGTGGATCTTCTGCCAGAGGGAATTGTAAGCAGTTCGTTCCAGAGTGATGGCGAATGGGAGTTACTGGACAAGACACTACAAAGTGGAGGAGAAGTTGGTGCACATAATTTGACCTATGAAAAGATCAAGTATACATTCTTCTTCCAAAGGCAATTTCAATGGTACATTCCGTTGATGATGATACCATTGGGTGTTCTGTCCCTACTGATGCCAGGCATGTTCCTTGTGCCTGTGGAGACTGGAGAGAAAATGTCCTACGCTCTAACAGTGATGCTGTCATTTACAGTGATAAGTTCTTTCCTCTTTGAAACACTACCAACCGTTTCAATCAACTAGTCCTTATTAGGTAAGTATAACGGTCCTACTCTATAACAGTAATGCTGTCAGTGATCAGTTCTTTTCTCTATGATACACTACAAACCGTTTCAATCTCTGACTCCTTAGTATGTTAGTATAAAAGTCCTAGTTCAAGAAGAAATTCGTTGCTTGAGTTGAGGAATTAATAATGGTATTATGTACCTACTATATGACAGACACAAAATCACGTGGCGTCTGTATCTCTGGCGTAGTCTCAAGGCTAGAATGGAAAACGTGACAACAAACAGAAATACGTTTATTTTGAGATTGATTACGGTCATATACCTAGGTCATGTAAGTATACTCAACAACAACAGTTCCTGAGACACGATAAAACTCATGATCAGGACCCTGATCAAAGTACATGTAGCCGTACACATCTGAAACAAATTATATTTTCGAACATACAATGGACCAGTAAAACAGGTTTACACATTTAATGACACATGTCTAGCAGAGAATTGACGTCATGACAAGAGATGATGTAAGAACAGAATTGTCAGTTTAAACATTAGTGGCGTGTAGCGTGTCCTTCTCGCTTTTATGCATGCAATGCATCTCCTTTCGCATTATTTTATTCTTGGAGAAAAGGGTCCAGCTCTTCGTATAACGTGTGTCATTAAACGCACAACTTGTGTATCCTTAGATCGTTTAACTGGGATCGTTTATGTACCCATTTCCAATCGGTTGCATACTAGCAACCGATTAGAAATGGGTGTCACAGGAACTTTTTGGCTGAGTACATAAAGTTAAACGATCTGAGGATACACAAGTTGTGCGTTTAATGACACACGTTATACGAAGAGTTGGGCCCTTTTCTCCAAGAAAAAAATAAAGTGTATGATACCAAGGCGAGGTGAAATGAAGAAGATGGCCGGGTGGTGTGGTCGCTGCTTGTCAAATTTGTCAAATCAACAAACAACCAATCTGGTTTTATTTCTGATTAAGAAATGTTACATCGAAAAGTTGTATGGAGAACGTCTAATTATCTGTTCTTTTCACATTGTTCATGTCTTGAACGAAGATAAGAGGAAATATATATTAAATTATATATTATTTTTTTGTAGTACGGTGTCAGTATCAAAATTTGTGAGAACAGTTTGGTTGTACATAAACAAAATAATGTGAAATATATTGTGAGTCACATACTATAGTAAAATTAAAAAAACTGAAAGTTTTTACATAAACTTTGGCATGGTAACCATCACTGAAATGTTCCAAGAGTTAGCCTGTGTCACCCCGTTTCTATCTGTTCTCCAGAGAGTTGGAAACCCGCATTTTGTTGTGATGACAAACGACTTAGTTTCACTTCCTGGATGCGTGAAACATATAAGAATAAATACTTTATATGTTTTTCAGGTGTATACATTTCTTCAACGATGACGTGTGGCGCACTAATGATTGTGGGTTCATTGATTGTGCACTACTACAACCACGTGCACCCTAGCCCTGCTGATGACAGCGACCGCAATTTGACAGCGACAGTGAAGGCTATCGAAACTTGTGCTTTTGTTTTCTTCTTTAGCCTCCTGGTACTGATGTTGATCTGTTTTCTGTTTATTTTGAATTATCCTATTGCTGATAAGAACATTAGTGTCATTGGAATTATGCTTGGCGTTCCCATTGCAGTTAGCGTTATCATTTTATGTTCAATCGTAACCATAAATGCCTGTCGAAGGTGTCACCATATCAGGAAAACAGATCAACAAAGAAAAACACAACAAACGGAAGGTGAAGATACTTCTGCTGCCACCTCATCTGCCCTATAAAATATGGCGTCATAGATTGAATTCCCCACGCCATTAAAAATACAATCCTTAAAATTAGGTGCATCACCTATTTCCAACGCACCGGGCGCATTGCATTCGGTTTTAATGTGTTCGCATATGTAAATTACGAAGAAGTGCTTTTTTTCACGCAACGTATGAAGTCACACATACAACTACGGGATCAGTGTGATATAGTCTTAAATCGAAACAAGGCAAATATATCAGCAACAATATATATGCAAATATATATCATGATCAACACGCATGTGACGACACGGGTGCTCAACCGGTTGGGCCGTGAAAAAAGGATCGTGAACTTATATCTTGCTTCACCATAGTAAAATTTGTAGTATCAGTACATAGACATTCTATGAACACTCGCACGCATGCCCGCGAACATGCACGCACGCACGCACGCACGCACACTGGTTCTCATTAGTCAGGTATGGTAATACAGTTTGAACTTTGATACCACGGAGGGTGGCTAAACATGTGTATAGTTTCCCCGTCGTTTAAAACTTTGATTTATAACTGCTTCTCATTTTTTGTGTTGTTTATTTAAGTGTCACATCTTACATACAGCACAAATATAAAACGTGTAAGTAAGCAATATATATAACATCCTTGCAATAAATGGTCTATGACACACTAGTGTGGACATGTGAAACGTTTATAGGCACGTGACCTATGAGGCACTAAAATCGACATGTAAAGCATAATACTAATAAATACTTGAAAGTTGTATGAACCGTTATGTGGTAGTAGTTATGTTATAGGCAGTAGTGTTGATAAAGATCAACGGGGAGGAACGTGAAAGAAGGGACATGAACTTACTTCACCATAGTAAAATCTGTAGCATTTGTACATAGACATTGTATGAACCTTGATACCACGGAGGGTGGCACAACATGTGTTCTGTTTCCCCCTCCGTCTAAAACTTTGATTTATAAACTTTTTATTTTTTGCGTTCATTTCGTTGTCACATCGTTTATACAGCACAATCATAGAACGTGTAAATGAGCAATTAATACAACATCCAGCCAATGAATGGTCTATGAGACACTATCATGTACATGTAAAACTTAATGCATACTTGTAATAATTATATTTAGGCACATGGCATATGAAACATAATAATGATACATTTATATTTTCGTTACAATTAAATTTTCGTTGTGTTCATTGAAATTCCTGCATTCTGATTAGCTGAATTGGTCACGTGTTATTGCGTTCATTTTCCAATGAATGTAAAAAATTAAGCTACGCCCACCGAGGCGCACTACTTTTATTACTTCGAAATGTTGGGGAATCCGGCTATTAAGTCGAGGGAATTCCCTTTCTACTCACGTGTATCGCCATGCACAGGACATTAAGCGAAATTCATGCATATTCATTGTTCAAAAAACTGTTTGAGACTGAAGGTCGAGAAGGAATGAAACAGCAAACGTGGAGGCTCGCTCGCCTCGGTTCCACAATTTTCATGTCTTCGGGTTGCATTTCTAACTATCATTTTTCTTACTGTGTCTTCACGTTCTCAGTGAACTAATGTTTGAATCTGGCGGTAACTGACCATGTCATTTGAAACAGCCGCCTTCTCTCGGACATATTTGTTCCGTTTCGTAACACAGGTACTAGATGATGGCGTGCATAACAATATATTCGCATCGAGAGAAAAAAGCTCACCCCTCTTTATACATAGAGACAAGGAGTGACACCCGCCGTCTTGGTTCTTATTCAAGATTTCGCACTCGCTTCGAATCATAGCTTATTATCGCATGAAATATGAATGTCACTTATTTCAACCTATTGGAACTTGCTAAACAATCCTCAGGCAACACAATCGTGTTTATCTGTGGTCACCTCACATCGTATTTATTTTAAAACAACCATCAGATCTCAACCCTAAGCTTCGCCGCCGAGGTAAACAAGAAAAAGGTGGCCGGAAATAACGGCGCTACCCGGGCTTGAACTCGAGCTAAGCTTCCAACCGAGTGCGAAATGTTGAATAACAACCAAGATGGCGGGTGCCACTCCTTGTATACGGGGCTGTGATTTTTTCTATACGAATATATTATGTTACACACGCTATCATCGAGTTCCTGTGTTTCGTAACCGTCTTCGGGCGGTCGGGTAGCCTAGTGGTTAAAGCGTTAGCTCGTCACGCCGAAGCCCCGGGTTCGATTCCCGACATGGGTACAATGTGTGAAGCCCGTCGTGATATTGCTGGAATATTGCGAAAAGCGGCGTAAAACCTCACTCACTCACTCGTAACCGTCTGACTGTTGCAGTACTTCGCGCTTCTTGCCTTGATTGACAGGTCCTATAAACTTAGTGTTTTTCATACTCTCCGTTGATTGGCTACTGACTTTGTAGGCGTGTCATGTTATGTACATAAATTAAACAGTCACCTGATTCAATTCACGCCACAGAATGTATTCCTACACTCGGAAACTGTATGAATCCGCGCAGCGAACTTTTACAAAAGCTTGCACATCGGTTTTTCGATTCATTCCTCAATGAACTGACAAAATACACAGTCAATCCTGAAGTGTAGCTGCAGTTTTGCTACAGGGTGTAGTGTTGATTGTGAGTGGCAGAAATTTGATTTAAGCACTCATAAAATAGCGAGTTGTTGTAGTTATCTCCCTTGGTTGTTTGTGTTCGAAACTCCGTCCCAGCGCTTAACACCTTTTCGCGAACACCTGGTATGATCACTATTTGACAGTGATTCATATACACATTCTCATGGTAAAGTCGACATCGTACAATCGGCTCTTTTGAAAGCGGAGATTTCTCATGATTATTTAATGCAGTTTGTCGCTTATATTCCAATCTCATTAAAATCAGACCTTAGTTCTCGCTACCGCTTAACAAAGATCTGAAGACAACCCATTAGGGGTCATGTCAGAGCGAGCTTTCACCCGACCAATCAGTGCGTCGCTTACCAGATTATGAAAGTGACAGTCGGTATGTGATTTCTAATCATGCAATCTCAAAAACTTTATCATGGGTGTATTCCGAACGATAGTTACGGGTTTAACGCCTTACAATCTAGACCATCTATTAGCCATTCCAGAATGGGTTTTGTACAGGTTTCAAATTTGTGTAATCGAAGAATTTGTCAAAATATGTTTCGCAGCGTAGTCGCCAATTGATATTTGTGCCGTAAAGCACGAGAAAACTGCCTTCTGATTGGTCATTCCATTGGTCGGTCAAAGTTCGTCAAGGTCGGTCTGACATGACCCGTAATGGGATGTCCTCAGATCTTTGTTTAGCGGTAGCGAGAAGTAAGAGCTGATTTTAATGAGATTGCTTATATACGCCCTCCTGGTATAGAACTCTCCGCTGTGTGGAGCTTGTTTACAGGCTTGTTTACAGTTTCCAGCTTCCAGGTGTTGAGATGTATCGGACAACTGAATGTGTTTTACCCTGGTATCAAAAAGTAAACCACAGACCCGTGAAGATCCGGGGTAGAATAGGTGTTCAGCAACCCTAGCTTGCCGAGCTGGAGTATTGCTGAGTGCGGCGTTTAACAACAACATCATGTCCCCCTCCCCGCCCCCCAAAAAACCAAAACAACAACAACAACAAAAAAACAACAAAACAACAACAAACAAACAAAACAAAAACAAACAAAAACCCACATGTCTACCTCATTATGTTGAGTATGGTTTTACGCCGCTTACGCCGCTTTTAGCAATATTCCCCCAAAATTACGGCGGGTCCACCTGAAATGCGCCTCACATATTGTACTCATGTGGGAATCGAAACCGTGTCTTCGGAGTGACGAGCGAACGCTTTATCCACTAGGCTACCCCAATCACGGTTGGTGATGCATGTGTGGTTTTCGAAAGCGGGATAGTGGAAAACACAAGTTCCCTGGTAGCTTCTCTTCCAGTTGCGAATAAGGACATATTTCAGTCTATGTACATGTACATTGTAGGCGATTCCCTTAGCACTAACAGTTACGAAGCTACGATGGATTAGCTTTCTTTGAAAGTGACTTTCTGTTCAGTACAGACCGCCTCCGTAATTAGAACACCTTACCAAAAGAAGTACACACATAATGATCGATACAACACATGGCTGGTGAGTGAGTGAGTGAGTGAGGGTGTGACGCCACGCCAGTCGCAGGGTCCACACACCAGAACCAGACAGGTGAGTCCGTAGTCTCCTTTAGACTGGATATAAACCACGACTGTAGATTCTATTGTATGGATCAGACATTTGCGGCCTAGCACAATTTAATGTTATCGAAAAAAATACATTTATATAAGCATTATAGTTCTTTGGTGTAAAATCTAGCACAGAAAACGCAAGGGTATATGGTGAATGCGGAAGGTTTCCCATGTATATCTATAGTTATTATCGGTTATTAAATACTGGGTCAAGCTATTACATATGACATTTTCAAGATACCCAAGAAAATGTTATAATATGATGCTTCTCAACGACAGCCATGGAAACAAAATTGGGAATCAAAAGTTAAAAACATGTCATACGAATGTGGATTATGGGTATATTTGGTTACAGAAACATGTAGATATGCCACAGCATTTCTTCACCCATTTGACGCAGATGTTTAAAGATATGTACATCTAAAAATGACATGGTTCCTTGTCCAGTTCTTGAAAAGCAGATTACTACACTACATTTAAGACTACTTATACCAGAATCTTATCTATTAAGTGTAAATTTACATAAGTTTAGAACAGCTCTTTCTCGATTTCGTTGTGGCTCACATGATCTATTTATTGAAACAGGCAGATATGTTTGTTTGTTTGTTGCACTCGGCATTTTCCAGCTATATGACGGAGGCAGATATATAGGTATTGCAAGAAAACATAACTTCGTAGGATTTGTAAAACTGATTGTATTGAAGATGAATACCACTTTTTATGTGTACGTCCTGTGTATAATAATTTAAGAGCAAAATATCTAAATAACTTTTTCTACCACAACTCAAATGGTAACATATTTTGTTAATTAATGACATATGATTGTACAGAAACTATTAGAAATGTATCAATGTTCATGTATCATGCTATGAAACTAAGAAAATGTATGAATTTGTAACCCACCCCAGACAAAATACTATAGGCCTTTGGCCTCATCAGTACCATGAATAAAGATTGCTTGATTGCTTGATTGATAAGCCATACAGAATATGAATAAAGATTTCTATAGATCTCTAAAACATATGTAATTTATCACTTCTTAATGTGTATTAAACAATTCACAATGATATTGATGTTTAATGTTTTTAATTGTTATCAGAATATCAATGAAAACATAAATTGCTCATAACATATAGTGAGTTACCAGTGACTTTATGTTTTGTTAGAATATAATATATCATACTTAAAAAATGTGTACAGATAAAGACATTACCACATAAGTGAATCTATAGAAAATAACCCACAATAATCAAGTTGGTACATTCAAGTTCTATATTCTTTTTGTCATTCAATGCCAAAACAATGATTATGATTTTTCCTGAAATCATCAATATATATATATTAATTTCAGCAAGCATGGCCTTCGGCCCAAAGTACAAAGTTAAGTTACAATGTAATCTATCATCTTGTCTGTACACAAATTTATATAAACGACTTACAGATTCATTAGCTAGCATATTATTGTTTCCAAATTGTTAATCATATACAGTTAAATCTATATATAAACACTAAAATGTATAATAATTGTTTTCAAATTGTTAATCATTGATAGTTAAATCTATATATAAACACTAAAATGTATAAAAAAAATTACATATGTATGAGATGCACACTGTCTTCACTTTCCAGCACATTGTACATATCCTTCACACACACACACACACACACACACACACACACACACACACACACACACACACACACACACACACACACACACACACACACACACACACACATATATATATTCCACAATGTCAAGCTCCAGTTGTGAATTGTTCATTTCCATTATGCAATATTATGTTTAACTATATATAGGGAGAAGGCGGTAATAAGTGTTGCACTTGTGCCCGAGCCCTTTGTCTTTTTGGACAATAAAATATGTTTAACAATAAAGATACACTGGACATATAGTAATGGGCAGAAAACATGAGACAACTTCAGATTTGTGCTTGTCGTATGTGATCAGGTTCATTTATCTGGACTTCTCCGACATAATATTAGACCACTGATCGTTTGCTTAGCTCTTCAGTGAGTCATTACATAGTGGGTACACTATCGAATGTGACAGTTAACCATCTAGAGCCTCACATGCATCCCCAGGGAGCTGAGAATGAAAGTCAAATGCACACTGATCCATTGAGCGGGGTGATAATACTGCAGCGCAATGAGCAGTCACTTGAGTGGATACCACGTCATCGTGTAAGTTGTAGCAGGATCACGAGGGGTACATTGTGGTTGTATGTGTCCCGCGTTAGGTTTTATACCTAACGCGCAACGCATAAACCCCATGTTCCCCGAGTGACTATTTGACTCTTTCTGGAACAATTTAACGATACATCAAATCAGTCATCATTTTACATGATTATCCACATTACATGTATGTGCAATTTTAATCCATGTCATTGTCCTATCTCGAGGTTTTGCGGGTTGGATCCAAGAACCCTTGTAAGATCGCCTAAATTGTTTCTGGTGGTCAGGCTCGGTGACATGATTCATATCAGTCACCGGTTTGTCTGTCGACTATTGTTTACAGGCCGCCGATATATATGTGGCCTTTTACTCACTGTGTAGTGAAGCAGCAAACAAAACATCAACGGTCTAAGTAACTAATTATATACAAATGCAAACATAAATAGAGAAAGTATCTCCAATTTAAATATAATATAACGTTGATGTTAACAAATAATGCTGTTTATTTTCTTTGAAATGTTCTATGAAATACTGTCAACAACGTCAGTTACTTCTACGTCTCGTGAGGACGTAAACGAAGGTAAACATCCTTGCTTGAAGTGTTTCAGGAAACACTTGTCAAAGGATATTGCAACATTGTCCAGCATGTGCTACTTGACGTTGAGTTACACTAAGTGCACACCGCATTGGCCAGTGTATTCTTTCCTTGACATAGCCCCCACTCCGCTATATATATTGCTTTTACCACTTGATGTCCTTCAATGAGAAGAATGATATTCATTTTCGTGATATACTATAATTTTTTTAATAAATGTGCTCAAGACATATCACAGAAGATGGGACATTTAAGCTGGCCGTGTTATTTATTTGTGACGGGGTAAAACCATGGTTTATTGATGAGAAGAAGTAGACCCGTCACTCCTTTGAAGTATTTTAGGGATGTTTGAATATCCCTTATATTGGGTATAAGAAAGAAATTGTGAAATAAACACTATAATGTAGCTTTATGCTGTGGGTATACACAACCATACAATGTGAATGGCGTCCGTCTAGCGTATGATTGGTCAGTAAAAGTTGAGGGAAATCATTGAATTAAGTAGCATGTCATTCTTTCATGCTAACCTAGATGAATCATACTGATTCACCAGTCAAATGTAAAAATATCTTCAAGGGTAGTAGTCTCATGTGTCCATTCCCTGGGAATCTGTTCTGGTTCAGTGCACGATTGACATGCTTTACATTTATTCTAAAGGTTTGTTCTGCAAAGATTATGATACAATCACAGCCAGCGTCTTCTTGCAACTGCCTATCGTCGCGTGACTCGCCTCTGCGTAACAATATCGCCCTCATACAAATAGTTCTCTAAATATAGTAGCTATACAAAGCCGACACAAATGGAATGTTCTAAGTATTGGTAGGGTCTCTTTCACGTGATTGTGATTAGGTTTCGTTTCATATATCAAGGGTCCCCACTGAGTACAGACGGATACAAGCTGTATAAGAATCCCAGGTTACTACTGCAGACCGTGAGTAATGTCCTGATTTACCATGGTGTTGTCTACTATTAGTACACCGCTGGGATCGCAGTTTGATTCACATGTAGTAGGATCAAATATATATTTTTGAATCTTATATTTTATATTCTTGAATCTTATATTTTATAATTTTTTAATTGTATACTTTTGCGGGCAAATCGCATGTCAAAGGCTAAATTTTCATTCAAAGTGTGTCGGTGAGGGTGGTGTTTGTGAGAGTGTGGTGGGGATGGGATGTGAGGTGAGGGAAAATAGGTTTAACGTCGTGTATGGGATTAGTTCACGCATGTGTGTGGCTGCTTGAACGTGTTCCATTTATGGACCACTCCTTGTTTTACCCCCTCCCCCCTTAATGCCGAGCGCCAGGCACGATAATAGCAAGTACAACCTTTATCGGCCATGGGATCGAAACTGATGTGGTGGTACATGCATGTAAGCTTGGGTGGTGGTATGTTGGATGTTGGACGGTATGATAGAGGGTGGGGTAGTGTTTAGGGTCTGGTATTATGTATAGTGACGGAAAACAATAACCGTTCGACAGATAAAGTGGTGTAAATGTTGTTATTGAAAATAAAAAGATGATATTAGGTGGTGGTGTAAGAACTCAATTAAAAATGTCAATATCCACATGTCAACTAAAGATTGTCCCAGCTGAGCTAGCGTTACTGGCTGGTTCTGGTCCTGTCGTTGACGTTGTTCATTCTCATCCCAGACATGTTCTATGGTGGAGAGGTCTGGAAATATATCTGGCCATGGCAGTAGAGCAATGTTGTGCTGCCTCAAAAAGTCTGTTACAACACGGTAACACGTGGGCGGACATCCCACTGCAGCGTGACGTGACGTTCCTGCATGTGCACAAGGGGTAGAACATGATCTCGAACGATGTCGTCCCATTGGCGCACGCCACTTAAATTGCCATTAACAATGATGAGTTGTGTTCTCCCACACTTATGATGCCACTCCATACCATTACACTTCCACGCCCAAACTGACGACGTTGAGTAACACAAGCGTTACTACTGGAAGCAGTAGACCCTTGCACGACCATTAGAGCTGTCCAGATGAAACCTGGATTCATCTGTAAACAGTATACTGTCCCAATCTTATCTGAACCTCAGACACCAAGCTAGGCGTGCCTGGCTATGACGTGGAAGCAAACTTGGGCGTATTGCTGTACGTCGGGGCCTGATGTGCTCTCTCAACCTGTTGCGTGGGTTCTGCTACTAATTGATCTCAACACAGGAAGTGTCCGAGCGGGAATGTGGCAACCGAATATGGTTATTTTGTTGCGTCAATCCCGTCGCATTGGTCTATATATTTGAAAGTGTGATGGTACGTGTAGTAGCGTGATGGTATGGTGACGTGGTGGTTTAGATGTTTGATAGTGTGGTTGTATGGTGCCGTGGTGGTCTGGATGTTTGATAGTGTGGTTGTATGGTGACGTGGTGGTCTGGATGTTTGATAGTGTGGTGGTATGGTGACGTGATGGTCTGGATGTTTGATAGTGTGGTGGTATGGTGACTTGGTGGTCTGGATGTTTGATAGTGTGGTGGTATGGTGACGTGGTAGCCTGGGTGTTTGATAGTGTGGTGGTATGGTGACGTGATGGTCTAGATGTTTGATAGTGTGGTTTTATGGTGACGTGGTGATCTGAATATTTGAAAGTGTCGTTGTATGGAGACGTGGTGGTCAGGATGTTTGATAGTGTGGTCGTATGGTGACGTGGTGGCCTGGATGTTTGATAGTGTGGTGGTTTGGTGACGCGGTAGTCTGGGTGTTTGAGTGTGGTGGTATGGTGACGTGGTGGTCTAGATGTTTGATAGTGTGGTTGTATGGTGACGTGGTGATCTGAATATTTGAAAGTGTCGTTGTATGGTGACGTGGTGGTCAGGATGTTTGATAGTGTGGTTGTATGGTGACGTGGTGATCTGAATATTTGAAAGTGTTGTTGAATGGTGACGTGGTGGTCTGGGTGTTTGATAGTGTGGTTGTTTGGTGACGTGGTGGTCTAGATGTTTGATAGTGTGGTAGTATGGTGACGTGGTGGTCTGGGTGTTTGATAGGTTGGTGGAATGGTGACGTGGTGGTCTAGATGTTTGATAGTGTGGTGGTATGGTGACGTGGTAGTCTGGGTGTTTGATAGTGTTGTGGTATCTCGACGTGGTGGTCTTGATTGTATGGCGACGTGGTGGTCTGGATGTTTATAGTGTGGTGGTATGGTGACGTGGTGGTCTGGATGTCTGATAGTGTGGTAGTGTGGTGACGTGGTGGTCTGATTATTTGATAGTGTTGTTGTATGGTGACGGGGTGGTCAGAATATGTGATAGTGTGGTGATATGGTGACGTTGTTGTCTGAATATTTGATGTATGGTAGTATGGTGACGTGGTGATCTGAATATTTGATAGTGTTGTTGTATGGTGACGTGGTGGTCTGGATGTCTGATATTGGGGTTGTATGGAGACGTGGTGGTCTGGATGTCTGATAGTGTGGTTGTATGGAGACGTGGTCGTCTGGATGTTTGATAGTGTGGTGATGTGGAGACGTTGTGGTCCGGATGTCTGATAGTGGGGTTGTATGGTGACGTGGTGATCTGAATATATGATAGTGTGGTGGTATGGAGACGTGGTGGTCTGAATATTTGATAGTGTGGTGATATGGAGACGTGGTGGTCTGGATGTTTGATAGTGTTGTTGTATGGTGACGTGGTGATCTGAATATATGATAGTGTGGTGGTATGGAGACGTGGTGGTCTGGATGTCTGATAGTGTGGTTGTATGGTGACGTGGTGATCTGAATATATGATAGTGTGGTGGTATTGAGACGTGGTGGTCTGAATATATGATAGTGTGGTGATATGGAGACGTGGTGGTCTGGATGTCTGATAGTGAGGTGGTGGGTGTCGTAATGTGATTGATGTGGCGACTTGGCGATCTATATATTTGGCAGTGTTATGATGGTATGATGTGGTGACATGGTTGTGTATATGTTTAATATAGTGACAATGGGGTGGTGGTATGTGTGATGTTGTGTTGGCGTGGTGGTATTACTTATGATAGGACGGTTTAAATGGTGCTTGGGATGGTGGTTCTGCGTACTATAGTTTGTCAGTGTAGTCGTCTGTTTGATAGCGTGCCACCGTGCTGGTGGTATGTGTGATGATGTGGTGGTGATGTGGGTGATAATATGAAGGTGGTAAGTGTGATGTTGTGTTGGTGGTATGTGTGATGATGTGATGGTGGTATGTGTGATGATGTGATGGTGGTATGTGTGATGGCGTGGTGGTGGTATGTGTGATGATGTGATGGTGGTATGTGTGATGAGTGAGTGTGTGAGTATGGTTTTACGCCGCTTTTAGCAATATTCCATTAATATCACGGCGGGGGACACCAGAAATGGGCTTCACACATTGTACCCATGTCGGGAATCGAACCCGGGTCTTCGGCGTGACGATCGAAAGCTTTAACCACTAGGCTACCCGACCGCCCCGTATGTGTGATGACGAGGTTGTGGTATGTGTGATGATGTGGTGGTGGTATGTGTGATGACGTGGTGGTGGTAAGTGTGATGATGTGATGGTGGTATGTGTGATGACGTGGTGGTGGTAAGTGTGATGATGTGATGAAGGTATGTGTGATGGCGTGGTGGTGGTATGTGTGATGGCGTGGTGGTGGTATGTGTGATGATGTGGTGGTGGTATGTGTGATGATGCGGTGGTGGTATGTGTGATGACGTGGTGGTGGTAAGTGTGATGATGTGATGGTGGTATGTGTGATGGCGTGGTGGTGGTATGTGCGATGGCGTGGTGGTGGTATGTGTGATGATGTGGTGGTGGTATGTGTGATGATGTGATGGTGGCATGTGTGATGACGTGGTGTTGGTATGTGTGATGGTGTGGTGCTATTTGAAGGATGTGAAGGAGGTATGTGTCATGCTGTGGTGCTATTTGAAGAATGTGAAGGAGGTATGTGTGATGGTGTGGTGCTATTTGAAGAGTGTGAAGGAGGTATGTTTCATGGTGTGGTGGTATTTGAAGGATGTGAAGGAGGTATGTGTGATGGTGTGGTGCTATTTGAAGGATGTGAGGGAGGTATGTGTGATGGTGTGGTGGTATTTGAAGGATGTGAAGGAGGTATGTGTGATGGTGTGGTGGTATTTGAATGATGTGAAGGAGGTATGTGTCATGGTGTGGTGCTATTTGAAGGATGTGAAGGAGGTATGTGTCATGGCGTGGTGGTATTTGAAGGATGTGAAGGAGGTATGTGTCATGGTGTGGTGGTATTTGAATGATGTGAAGGAGGTATGTGTCATGGTGTGTCGGTATTTGAAGGATGTGAAGGAGGTATGTGTCATGGTGTGGTGGTATTTGAAGGATGTGAAGGAGGTATGTGTGATGGTGTGGTGGTATTTTAAGGAAGTGAAGGAGGTATGTGTCATGGTGTGGTGATATTTGAATGATGTGAAGGATGTATGTGTGATGGTGTGGTGAATTTGAATGATGTGAAGGAGGTATGTGGGATGGTGTGGTGAATTTGAATGATGTGAAGGAGGTATGTGTCATGCTGTGGTGATATTTGAATGATGTGAAGGAGGTATGTGTGATGGTGTGGTGCTATTTGAATGATGTGAAGGAGGTATGTTGATGGTGTGGTGGTATTTGAATGATGTGAAGGAGGTATGTGTGATGGTGTGGTGAATTTGAATGATGTGAAGGAGGTATGTTGATGGTGTGGTGCTATTTGAATGATGTGAAACAGGTATGTGTGATCGTGTCGTGCTATTTGAAGGATGTGAAGGAGGTATGTGGTGTGGTGTTGTGGTATTTGAATGATGTGACGGAGGTATGTGTGATGGTGTGGTGCAATTTCAATGATGTGAAGGAGGTATGTGTCTTAATGTGGTGGTATTTGAATGATGGGAAGGAGGTATGTGTCATGGTGTGGTGGTATTTGAAGGATGTGAAGGAGGTATGTGTCATGGTGTGGTGGTATTT